TACTTTTTAGTCAAATATATTTCTTTCCCACATAAATTTTAGTCAAATATTTTCCCAATAAATTTTGCATATATAAGAAAAAGAAAAAAAAGTTACGCATCACACACTTTATGCATTTCTCATCGTCCCAATTTGGTCTTTTGATTCAAAAAACTGGTAAACCGATGTGAACAACTAATCAGGTGTACCCATTCTCACACCAAGCAAATCTCACCATCCAATCATACCAAGACACGTAAGAATTCCATCATACGGTCACGATATGAAGCTCCGTCTCCATATAAATAGGGAAAAAAACGAAGAAACGAGAATGACCAGAGATTCCGATTTAAAAGAGAGAAGAAAAGCGACGAACGTAGATTCGCCGCAGCTACATCTTCTCTTTTCTCTTCATGCTAATCCGTTTTCCGGCGAGCTCCGATTAGCATGAAGAGAAGAAAAGCGGCGAGGAAATCCCCGGCGATGGTTACCGATTCCGGCGAAGAGAAGAGAATCGAACGGAGATTGATGAGGTTTGAGGAATTGCCTGGGTATATGAAGGATAACGAGTTTATACATGACCATTATCGATGTCATTGGTCTCTTAGAGATACTTTCCTTAGTGCTTTCTCTTGGCATAACGAAACTCTCAATATCTGGACGTAAGTTTCTCAATCCGATTTGAATTGATTCGTGGGATTTGGATTTTGTTTCGGTGAATTTTTCGAAATTTGAATTGATTTGTTGTGGGGGGGTTTGGGATCTTTAGGCACTTAATCGGATTTGTGATATTTCTATGGATGATGCTGGTGAGCTCTTTAGAGACGACGGAGCTTGGACTCGCCGGGATCTTCAACGGAATGTCCGGGTAAGAACCTACGAGGTCAAAATAGTCATTTTCCGATTGTCTTTTTTTTTTTTTAAATTTTGAAATAAAATAAAGCCGGCTTTTTGTGTGTGGGGCCTGAAACGACAGGGCAAGGATTTACGTCTCAAGCAATCAGACTATTGTGCTTCGTGTAAGATTCTGTTTCGTTTTTTTCTTTATTTTATTTTAATAGATATATGGCAAACTTATCTCATCTTCTTATATGACATAATGAAAATGGTACACATATATGTATGTCATTATGCATAATAACAAATTTAACCATAGCTTTGTCATTTTTCTAATCATATAATAT